AATGCAGGGCTGTCTATGCTTCCTGAGACTGCCTATCCAAGGAACCAGTGGTAGACACAGGAGGGCTGGGGGTTGGGGGTAGACCTTAGTCTGGACAGCCAATTTCACAGCCCAGCTTTCCCACTTGCTCAGTGAAGAGCACCGCCAGGTCCACCTCTCAGGGTCTGTTGGGGATTAAACAGGGTCAGGGTCACACGCTCGATCTTTTCAGGCTGAAGCTGGAATGATGGAGGAGGCGGGTTAGAGGCTATACCCTATGGAGCTTCTGGTCTAAGAGGGACTCAGGAGATGGACAGACGTCAAACTGAAAGACTCACAGCAAAGCTACCAAAGGAGCATGTGACCAGGAGGGAGTGGACCTGAGTGCTTTGCCTTTCCTCCTTCCTGCTGGTAATGAGGGCTTGATGGCTGGTGTTCTGCAGCTATTCTGGACTGTGAGGCAAAGCTGAGGGGTGGGAAGGGCCTTCGCCCCTGGCAACTGCACTGTCCACTCTTGGCTTTTCTGGAGACAGAGGGGACATTTATCCTGTTTTAAGAACTTTGGGTTTTTAGTTGCTTCTTTGTCCTCCAAAAGCTCTGAAGCACATGCCTGGAGTTCTTAAGGAGCAGGCCGCCTCCTCATTAGCCAGTAGGAACTTGGGTGGGATTTGGTTGAATTCACTCGAGTGGAAGGGATTAGCAGAAGTCAGAAGGATGACTGAATAAATCCAGTAGAGATGAATCTGGAGTGACGAGCTGGAAATGAGCTTGGAGGCTGACTGCAGACACAGCTAAGAAGACAACAGGTAAACTCATCAGGGAAGGACAGGCCCGAGAAAAGGGGCTCAAAGCCCGGAGTCTCCACACCAAGGGTTCAAGTCCAGCCCTCAGCTGACCCTGACCATGATGTCACGAGAAGACCTCAGAGTCGGCGACCTGAGGGATCTTGGCCTTGAAATCTACCTCTGATTGGCTAAGATGGCCCAGGCAAACTCTCTGGCACCTTTGAGTCTTCGTTTACTAAAGGAACAATGGCTATGTGTGAAACAATGTGAAAGCAACACCCAACGCTCCTCCGCCACCCCACCCCCCCCACCCCACCCCCACCCCCACCCCCGTGTGCTATCCAGTCTCATGATGACAGTTTCCGGATTTTGGCTACTTTCTCAGAACAAGATGGTTCCCCAGAGCCAGCTGAGCTCCAAAGAACAAGAAAAACACCAGCCCCAGACTGCAGGAGGATTTTACACAGGCAAACGTCTTTGGTATGTTTGTGAGTATGCAGATGTGTATGTATGTGCATGGAACAGAACAGGGTGGTAGCCGTGCAGAGGATAAACCTCATCCTTTCTCGCCTGCCTGCCCATCTGCCCACCTTCCCACCTGCCCGCCTGCCTGCTGGGTAGTAACCAGATTGGACATTTTTCCTGATTGGTTTTTTATTCCCCCTGCCAGAATTTCAAAAGCAAATTGCATTCTCCATATTCCTGGCACAGTCGGCAGCTTTCACTGGAGTGCTCGTGGGCCGCGGTCTGATTCAAACCACTGTGCCACCGTGCCACGTCCCAGAGTCTGCTTACACACTCCTCACTGGGCCCTGCAACCGCTCTAGAGTTCCGTTCTCCTCCGTTCAGGCGGGCCAATTGCGACACGGCTGCGTAACTAGCCAGGGGAAGGTCTGCCTGACTCGCCTTGGGAAAAAGACAAGTACTGAGTCACTGGTCCACGTGGTCACACGTGTCACATTCACTAAAGGAAACCACTGGGCACCGGGCCTTTGAGCAAAGCCAGGAGGGTGTGAGAGGAGCTGGTGGGCAATTTCTGGGTGCTCTGGGATGGATTTGGCCACCCCCACTTACAGAGAACACAGCCCTGGAAAGGCACTGAGTGCCCCTACCGGGTCACCTCACGTAACAGCAGAACTGTGGGCCAGAAATAACCAAGACTATGAAATGCCGCCTAAGGAGGCCATAAATCATCCTCCCCCAGCGGCCCCCAGGCACCCCAGCCTCAGGCTCCCTGATTCAGTGTACTGAGGGCAGCTAGTCGGTATCCTGTAGGTATCCGGTCTGCCTCTCCTAAGCCTCCGTCCCGCCTGTGAAAAGGGAAAGGTCCGCTTTTCTTCGGTGAAATGGCAGGCTTATGACTCTTCCTGACATCAGACTCAGACCGGGGTGAAGCCGCAATAAACGAGGATTAGAATGAAACGCTTGCCACCAGGAATCTCCCCGGAAGGAGACCATGCTCCTGCCCAGACTTCCCACCAGGTGGCGCTATGAGACAACCTTCAAAACACAAGTCTCCGGACCAAGTCAGTGGCTCTCTCAAGTGGGTAGTGGGGACCGGTCATGGGTTCAGAGCTAAGAGCCCAAGGCTGGGTAACATTTCGTGACTTCCCTTCACTTTAACCTAGATGCTCTCCAGAACGTGACTGCAGAGGAAGCGGGCACAGACACTGACTGTGCAAACCGGATAACCACCACTTACTAAGCTCTGCCGTGGGCATGAACAGATCAAGCCAACGCGTTTGAGCTTCACAGCTGAAATGGGCCTTTGTGAGAATCTAGCCAAACCCTCCCCCATCACATTAGTTAGTGGTGGAGGGAGGTCCATGGGGAGCAACAGGCAGCCCCGGGTGAGGGCCCCTACTAGTGAAGATGAGGTTGCAGCGTCTCGGCAGCTAAGGGGATGATCCATTCACCCAGACTATGGCTTTGCAGGTGGTTTCCCTCAGCTTTTGCTGGCACGTGGGAGATGTTTCCAGAAAGTTTGAGAGGATTAGAGCCCGGGACTATGTTTAAACCCTTCATTGGGTTACACGCCTCGAGGCAGGCATTTCCACTATGACTTAACCCAGCTCAGGGTTAGGGCTCCTTTTGGAGTCCTGTGGGGATAGTACCCCCAGGAACAAGTGACTGCTGAGGCCAAAAGGGGGTCACAACTCATCCCATGCCAAAATCCTATAGAATTAAGTTCTTTATTATAAAATGTGTCTGGAATAGATGGCCAAGAAAAGAACTGTGAGCTGGAAATGCATTTAACTTACTGTGGTACAAAAAACAACTAAAAATTCAAATAGTTATGCTTGTTTATATTGGCATAAATTCAAAGAAACTGGGCCTGGTGGTGTATGCTTGTAATCTTAGATCCTGGAGAGGTTGAGGTAGGTGGCTCACAAGTTCAAGGCCTGCCTGGGCTACAGAGTGAGTTCCAAGCCAGCATGGGCAACTTATGAGAAGTCACAAGAGGGCTGTGGATGTAGCTCAAGCAGTGGAGTCTGAGCCTAGCATGTGCAAGGGCCTGGGTTCAATCTCCAGAACCACCAAGACACCAATCAATCAATCCATCCATCAATCAATCCATCCATCAATCAATCCATCCATCAATCAATCCATCCATCAATCAATCCATCCATCCATCAATCAATCAATCAAGCCATCCATCAATCAATCCATCCATCAATCAGAAAGCCTGTATGGCATCACACGCCTATAATCCCTGCCACTTGGAAGGCTGAGGCAAGAGCACACTCAAGGCCAACCTGGGCTCTATATCGGCACTGGACCACACCACCCACCCCTCGAGGGGCAGGGTGCCTGTGCCTGGGTCAGAGTCAGGTTGTCTTAGCCCCTTCAGAAGCACCGATGGAGAAGTACGCAGAACAGGGTCAACCAGCCCAGAGCCCAAGGGCACAGAGCCAGGGCATCTCCAGCCCCGATCTCCTCTGCCCTGTGTCCTCACTGCAGTCAGCACGCAGCTGTCACCAGTTCCTGTTCCCCAGCATCCCATCTGGACATGAGGGTCACCTGCTGCCTCTGCGGCTCTCGTCTGGACCCGAAATCCTGCTCACTTGTCTTCAGTGAGACACTGAGTTCTCTTCCCAGGATGCGGACTCTGGGAAAGGGAACTGAATTCTGAAAGGGAGGCTACATTCCCACAACTGTAGAGCTCCAATGTGTTACACGAGGACTCTAATCCACACCCCAAAAGACATTTCACGTACGGAACAAGTCCCACCACAGATCTGAAAGTGGACCCAAAGCCCCAAAGGAACAAGGTGGCTCAGGGGCCCGGGATGTGGGCCAGGAGTCTGCTGTGGCTGGGGAGATAAGCAGCCATGCCTGCCAGGACAGGAGATATCACTGTGAACAGTTGAGGTCACAAGCAGCTGGCAGCCACGCTCCTCCTCCACCAAGAAAGCTCATAAGTCCCCTCCTCAGGCCCAGAAATGAAGACTCAGAACACCTTTGGTAAAGGAGATCCGCCTGACACAAGGCTCCCAGCCCCAGGGGAGCCGTGGACACAGGGATCCAACCAAGTTCTTCTGAGCAGGAGAGCAGGCCTGAGAAGAGAATGGAACCATCTCTGCCCGGTCCTCCCCAACACTTGGCCACATACAGACACCCCCAGGGACCCGAGAGGGTGAGGTTCCCGAAGGTCTTCAGGCTTCACTGGGGAGGCAGAGCCAGGAGGATCTCTGAGTTCGAGACCAGCCTGGTCTATAGAGCAAGTTCCAGGACAGTAGGAGCTACACAGAGAATCCTTTCTCAACCCCCTCCCCCCGCAAAAAAAAAAAAAGAGTTCAAGAGCCAAACTCAAGGACTCTCCTCTCAGGAAAAGTGGTCTACCTCAACCCAACACCCACTGAGGACAGCTCACTATGGGTTTCTGAGCTGCTGGCGGTTGAGCAGCCCCTGGAGAGAACCCCTGAGCAAGAGACCCCAGACATGCACCCCATTCTTTGGCTCCTAATGCGTCCCCAGTCATTCTGGCCAAAGGACCACTCCCCAGAAGCTGACCCTGGAGTTCAGTGTGTTGGGGTACACAGAGCTTCTTCCCTCAGCACTAGGCAAGGGGTCCAGGCCTGTGCCTCACCTCCCAGCTCCCCATCCGACCGAGAAAACCCTGGAAATCACCAAGGTCAAAGGCCCCTGGCACCTCCTCCCCCACACTAGCCCTCCCCACCACTTCTTCAGTTTTCCAGAACACGCAGCTGTGAGGCATTCAGCAGCTTCTCAAAAGAGACTCAAATTCATTTATTGAAAATATCACAATAGCTGGACACGGTACCGCACACCTATGGTCCCAGCACTCGGGAGACAGAGGCAGGTGGATCTTTGTGAGTTCAAGGCCAACCTGGTCTACATAGTGATTCCAGGCCAGCCAAGGCTACATAATAAGACCCTGTCTCAAAACCACCACCACCACCCCCCCAAAAAAGAAAGAGAAATGTCACACTAAAGAAATGTCAGTACCCTTCTTCATACAGAAGAAGAGCAGCTAAGAAAAAGACACCATTAGAACAAAGGAATGCTGTCAAAGTCTGGACGATGCCTAGCTGCTCCGAGTTCCAGTTCTGCTCCTGGTGGGGGAACTTGTGTTCTGGGAAAATACAACATACTAAGCCTTTCTCACCCTGGGCTTATACTTCTTAGTGGAGGCCCTGTGCCCCTAAAAGCCTTCCAAGGCAACCAGAGCACTCTGCAGATTTCAGTGATGTTGGTCCCCAGTCCCTCTGCCTCCTGGTTAACACAGTGGGGGAATCCACTCGTGGTCCCATCCCTGATCACACCCTCCAAGCACTCCCAAGCTCCCTCCCCCTGTCCCTGCTCTCACACCAAAGCCCAGCCTGTCTAGTAATGAACACTCCCACGCTCATGCGTCCCCCAGAGGTCACCGCTGGCTCAGGTGGGACACCAAGTAGACAAGGCCCACTAGCAGGAGGCCACGAACCCCAAGCATCATGAGCAAGAAAAGCAGGAGAATGGAGGTCACGGGCTCCACCACATGGTTCCCAAGATGCCACTGGGGGAAGCCCATGTTCACCAGCTGCCGGTTCAGGTCATTGAAGGGAGACTGGGCGGCACCTAGCCTGGCACCTGCCTGCTGCTGGCGGGGTCCAGGGCCCCCTGGAGGTCCACCATGACCTCTGTTGAGAAAGCCCTAGAAGATGAACACAGACAAGTGAATCCGGAGGAAGCTTTCTTGGAATTGAACCACCAGCCAGGAGACTCAGAGGCTGGGTCCCTCCCTCCCCCACAGCCACCCTACCATGGTGCTTCCTTCCTAGGAACAACCAAGTCACAAAATCTCACAGCATAAAGAATCAAAGCCCGTGTTCCCTTCACCATGCCTGGGACAAGGGGGCCAGGACCAAGAGGAGAGGAAGGCTCCCTCCCCAGGAGGCAGGAGCCAAACCGAAGTCGGTTCTTACTCCGCTAGACCCTCTGTGGAGAGAATACCAGCTAGCAAACAGCAGTTCTCAACCTGTGGGTCATGACCCATCTGGGAGTCCAAAGACCCTTTCACAGAGGTCACCTAAGACCATCAAAAACCACAGATATTACAATATGATTCATAACAGGAGCAAAATGACAGTTATGAAGTAGCAATGGAAATAATTCTACAGCTGGGGGTCACTACAACATGAGGAACTGTATTAAATGTCACAGCATTAGGAAGATTGAGAACCACTGCTATAAGAAGGTGAGAAGCCAGCTCAAAATACTTCTGGGAGTTGGGGCCAGCGGCTGCCCTTCTCTTTGGGATGGATACCTACCTGCCGAGGACCACTGCTTCTCTGCTGGGTGGTGGTCCTCACTCGGGGGTCATCATCTTGAACTATCTCCCCATTGGCCAAGATCCTCACCATCCTCCTGGGAGCTGTGAGTTCCTGCCGGGCTGTGTGTGCCTGCAAAGAGTGATAGCCAGCCAGGTGTCACCTCAGAGGTCCCATCAGCAATAGCCTTAGGGATCTGTCTTGTCCCTGACCTCAAAGGGCTTGCTGCAGACAGCTTAGACCCGGGGGTGTTTTTCAGCGGTCACAGAGTGGGTGACCCACCCTTAGCAAGTGTCTGTCTGGTTGACAAAAAAGAGGTGAAATAAGGCAAGGGGAAAAGAGGAGGGAGGAGAGGTAGGCAGGAAGAAAGGGAGGGAGGAGGGAGAGGGAGGAGAGTCCCAGGAGCCTGCAAGAGGTGCACACCTGTAATCCAACCAACCACGACCAGGACTACAGGAGGTGGAGGCTGAATGATCAAGGGTTAAAGGGCAGTCTGATCTTTGCAGGGTAGCCTCGGCTATGTGAAACCCTACCTCCAAAAAAAAGAAACAGGGAAAGAGGAAAGTACTTTGTATGCCAACTTAAAAAAAAAAAATCGAGGGGGTGAGGGTGCGGTTCCCAGGGCCTGTCAAAAGAGTAAGCGCTAAGGATCTATCTGGGTCCCCTTAGGTCTCCTCCCAGGTAGTAGAATGCAAGCAGCTGGCCACCACGCGGGGAAGGGAGGACCCCCGCTGCAGAGGACACGCCCCCCACTGCCCCTCGCCTCCAGGGAGCAACCACTGCCCCTTGGCTAAAGGACAAGGCCCAATGCTCGCACCACACGGGGTGCGAGCTGCAGCTGCGGCTCGGGGGGACCCCAGCTCTGCAGCCCCTAAGGGTGACAGCGGCCTGGGCACTGTCAGCCGAGGAGCGCCCCGGTGCTCATCTGGACTCTCCACGCGCTGGAGCACCGAGGCAAGGCCGGGTCCGGGGAGGAGCGTGGCGTGGACCCGCAGGATCGCGATCCTGCGCGGCGTCCAGTGCTTTGTCATCTGCAAGCTGGACCACCTGCGCTGCGGCAGTATCTCGGCCAAGCGGGGCTCCAGTCCCCGCAGCGGTGGGGAGGGACCCGGACCCGGACCTGGCGCGAACACCCACCTGCGCGCACGGTTCCCGGGCCTCCACGTCCACGGGCGGCCGCTTCCTCCCACCTGACCTCACAGGAAGCGCGCGCCGCAGGGGCGAGGCCCGGCACGGCGCTCCCTCTGCCGGCTGCCTGGGGAACTGCAGCTGCGGAACGGGGAGGAGGGAGGAGGAGGAGGAGGGAGGAGGGAGGAGGAGAAGGAGGAGCAGCTTGACGGGGGAGGGAGGGAAGAGGAGGAAGAACTCTAGGGAAGAGATGAGGGGGCTGAGAAGGATTGGGATGGGGAGTAGTCAAGGGAGTGTGGGAGAATACATGATGGAGAAGAGGAAAGGGAAGAGAAGCCCAGGATGCGGGATGGAGAGGAGAAGTAGGCACAAGCTGAGGCCACAGGTAGAATCTGCTCAAATATGCCCAGGTGACTCTGCAGTGCCCCTGGAGTGGGACCCAGCCCCGCCCTTCAGGAGTTCCGAGCGCCTTCGGAGGAAGAGGCCTAGATCACAGGGCAGGCTCTACCAACTTGCAGTGGACTTCCCAAGGGTGTGGGGTGTGTGTGTGTAGGGGGGGCGGGGGTTGAGACAGGATTGACAGAGACAGAGCCCGGAGATGGCTTGGCCAGTAACATCACTTGCTTCCCAGCCCGATGACCTGAGTTGGATCCCTGGAACCCACGTGCAGGAAGGAGGGAATTCACTCCCTGGCAACCCTCTGCCGCTCTTCTGGTAGAAATGCCGAAGAGTATTGCAGCCTCCCAGAGTGGGAATCTAGGCCAAGCAAGCACCTAGCCATCACAGGCGTGGGCTCTTTCCCATGGTGTTCCGCTTGAGCGAAGCGGCTATCATCATCTAAGATTAGTTCTGTCTTGCTAAGTGTCCTTCCCTAGCCTTCTGGCTGGGAGGAGCAGACTTCCTGATTGGCTTTTCCTGACCGCAAAACCGGCTGCTTGAAGGTCGCTAGCAGCTCCAGATCTGAATCTGAGATCAGAGCACAAAGCCAAGGGCTGCCATTCCCGGGTCACAGGGGTCCCCGCCTGCCTGCTCCACCCATTTTCAAAGTCTTGTTTTTGTTTTACCCTTGATATCCAGGGGTGTTCGTTGTATTTAGTAAGTGCATCTACCCCATCTTGCTGGATGCAGATCGGCAAGCTTTGAGTTACAGTAATTAAGACGTTGTGGCTGAGGCACCTGACTCACGAAATGGCAGTGGGTAAATAGCGTTGGAACAAACCTGAAAATCGGGGTCTATGACAAAGTGGAAGTATAGAAAAGTAAGAGCACCCCTTCTTTTTCCCTCCTTTCTGCTTTTAGACAAGGCAGCCCTGGTTGACCGGGAACTTCCTATGTAGACCAGGCTAACTTAGAACTCAGAGATCTGCCTGTTTCTGCCTCCCTGAGATGAAAAGTGTGCGCTGCCATGCCCTGCTAGAAATGTTTTATTAGCAAGTAGTTGTGACAGCTAGGTCTCCAGGGGGATTTTATTCCACATGTGTCATAGAACTAATCATGTAAGACAAAAACAAAGGCGTCTTTGTAATTTATGTGACTTCGGAGTTCTCGTAACACATGGTTTGTTGGGGAATACTATTCTAAGGTGTGTTACTTTTGTTTATGCTGCATTTGTTTAACTCTCTGAAGCTGTGTTACTGTGCCTGTCCAAAACACCTGATGGTCTAATAAAGAGCTGAACCATCAATAGCGAGGCAGAGAGGATGGCCAGGGCTGGCAGGCAGAGAGAATATATAGGAGAAACCTGGGAGAAAAGAAGAGCCAGAGAAGGAAGAGGACTCCACAGGCCAGCCACCCAGCCACCCAGCCACCCAGCCACCCAGCCACCCAACCACCCAGCGACCCAGCCACCCAGCCACCCAGCAAGCCACAGAATAAGAGTAAGATTTACAGAAGTAAGAGAACGGGAAAAGCCCAAAGGCAAAAGGTAGACGGGATAATTTAAGGACAGCTGGCTAGCAACAAGCCAAGCTAAGGCTGGGCATTGATAATTAAGAATAAGCCTCGGGGCTGGAGAGATGGCTCAGAGGTTAAGAGCACTGGCTGTTCTTCCAGAGGTCCTGAGTGCAATTCCCAGCAACCACATGGTGGCTCACAGCCATCTACAATGAGATCTGGTGCTCTCTTCTGGTCTGCAGGCCGAACACTCACTGCATACATGATAAATAAATAAATCTTAAAAAAAAAAAAAAAGAATAAGCCTCTACGTGTGATTTGTTTGGGAGCTGGGTGGCGCCCCCCCCCCAAAAAAGCAAAAGCAACAACAGTTAGTGTCAACTGTAAAGGAAATGTTTGATAAACTTCATCACATTGAACCTACATTAATCTTGGATCTAGCTTCAGTGGTACAGAATTTGCCGGGTATGTACGAGACCCTGGATCTGGTCCTCAGCACTGAGCAGGTAAAGGACATAATAAAATTAAGAATTCCTTTTGACTGGGTGGTGGTAGTGCACATCTTTAATCCCAGAAATTGGGAGGCAGAGGCAGGCAGATCTCTGTGAGTTCGAGGCCAACCTGGTCTACAGAGTGAGTTCCAGGAAAGGCTCCAAAGCTACACAGAGAAACCTTGTCTCAAAAAAAAAGGATTCCTTTTGACCTACTAATCAAGGTACTTTTTTTAAAAAAAAAAATTAAAGATAAGGCTTTTCTATGAAGCATACCCTGGCCTTGAATTCAAGATCCTCCTGACTCAGTCTTTGGAGTACTAGGATTACAGTTATTACAGTTAGGATTACTCTACCACCCCTAGCTTAAGCTATGTTTTTAAAAAATAAGAAAGGCGCCGGGCGGTGGTGGCGCACGCCTTTTTTTTTTTTTTTTTTTTTTTTTTTTTGGTTTTTCGAGACAGGGTTTCTCTGTGTAGCTTTGCGCCTTTCCTGGGACTCACTTGGTAGCCCAGGCTGGCCTCGAACTCACAGAGATCTGCCTGGCTCTGCCTCCCGAGTGCTGGGATTAAAGGCGTGCGCCACCACCGCCCGGCTCGATCTTTCTTTATCCACCAAGTGGAGACTGGCTACCTTGCCTTTCAGGGTACAGACTTTGGCAAACAAACAAACAAAGTAAAAAGAAAGCTAGGTGGATGTTTATACTGGCTTCCCAGTCACCTCCTTACCCTTCCGCATCCTGTCTGCTTATGAGGTGAACAGCTCCCCTCTCCCACATACTTCTGTCACCACAGTGTCCTTGCCAACTGCACACTTTTAACGACAGCCCCATCTCTCCAGCCACGGTCTTTATTACCTCACAGTATTACGTCACATCACTCCAGTACAATTCCTTTACCTGTTTTACTTGGATGGCTTTAATCCCAGCGCTCGGGAGGCAGAGGCAGGTAGATCTCTGTGAGTTCAAGGCCAAGCTGGTTTACAGAGTGAGTTCCAGGATAGTCAGGACTACAGAGAGAAACCTTGTCTCAAAAAACAAAAAACCCCAACAACAACAAGAGAACGCTGATTGTCATGGTTTGAATGTGAAGTGTCCCCCCTTGGCTCAAGTGTTTGAATACTTGATCCCCAGTGGGTGGTGATGTTTTGAGAGGTTGTGGATCCTTTAAAAGATGGGGTATAGTTGGAGGAAATGGGTAACTTGGGGGTGGGCCTTGAGGGTTTTATCCAAGCCCCACTTCCTGTACCTGTCTCTTTGTTTCCTGGTTACAGCCATATAAGAAGGGGCAGCTGCATGCTCTCATCACAAAAGAGGAAGTCCTAGCCACCATGCCTTCCCCACCATGAGCCAAAGTAAATCCTGGCTCTCTGAATTTGCCTCCTTCAGTTATATTATCACAGGGATGAGAAGAGGAACAAATCTACCCGAATCTCCTATTGGTTTTTCAGAGTGGTGTGTATTTATTATTCACGCACCACCAGCAGCATATGAACACTCTGTGCAGTCCAGCATCACCGGGATGTGGTGTGATCACACTTTCCGCTCCCAGGCCATCTGATGGCTCATAGTGTTCCAATTGTAACATTGAGCACAGTTTGAAAAAGTACTGGTCATTTAGATCTCTTTTATAATATGCCTGACCAAATCTTTTGTCTGGGTTTTAACTTGGTTGCTTATATTATTCATCTGCAGATACTCGTATACTCTTTCTCCTTTCCAGACATCAGACTTATGGTTGTTGGTTATCTGTTCTTGTTTCATTTCTGTGATAAGATAATCCGACTAAAAAATAATTTAAAGTTATAGGAAAGGTTTATTTGCTTTGCAGTTCCAGATCGTAGTCCAGGGTAAGTCAATGCAGGAATTTAAGCAGTGGTCACACCACATCCAGTCAAGAGCAGAGAGAAACCAATGCATCCACGTTGGCTTTCTTTACGTAACACAGCTCAGGGTCTGGCCTAGGGAATGGTGCCACCCACAGTGGGTTTGGTCAATTAACAGGACAATCCTCTACAGACATGCATCCTGGTCAACCAGATCTAAATAATTCCTTAATGAGACTCTTTCCCTGGGTGAGTCTAGGTTGTGGTAAGGTGACAGTTAAAACTAACCATCATACTATCTATATTGCAAAAACCTCTCTCTCTATGATGTTTGCCTTTCTTTTTTTTTTTTTTTTTTTTTGGTTTTTCGAGACAGGGTTTCTCTGTGTAGCTTTGCGCCTTTCCTGGGACTCACTTGGTAGCCCAGGCTGGCCTCGAACTCACAGAGTTCTGCCTCCCGAGTGCTGGGATTAAAGGTGTGCGCCACCACCGCCTGGCGAGATAATTTTAAACAAAGGCCCCAGTTTAAAATTGGGCAGAAGGGCTTCAGTCCAGTTTTGAAAACATGGCTCTAGTCCTGCCTTTAATCCCAGCACTCGGGAGGCAGAGCCAGGCGGATCTCTGTGAGTTCGAGGCCAGCCTGGGCTACCAAGTGAGTTCCAGGAAAGGCACAAGGCTACACAGAGAAACCCTGTCTCGAAAACCCAAAAAAAAAAAAAAAAGTGTGCAGTTGGCAAGGACACTGTGGTGACAGAAGTATGTGGGAGAGGGGAGCTGTTCACCTCATAAGCAGACAGGATGCGGAAGGGTAAGGAGGTGACTGGGAAGCCAGTATAAACATCAAAGGAACATACGTAGGGACCAACTTTCTCCGAATGGCTCTCACTTCCCAAGATCGCTCCAGCTAACACCAAGCGTTCACAGCATGAGC